ACCCACTGTTCTTTTGCACTAATTTATTAAATATTAATTTTACAAACGTTTCGAGACTAGGTTTGTCTCATCATCAGTGTATTATAATTTAAAATCTAAAATAGCATTATGTGTTATCCGTTGCAACTTGTTCTTACTAATCAATCATTAATAACGGGTAACACATAATGCTGTTTCAAATTTCCATATTATAGATTTTAAATTATAATACACTGATGATGAGAAAAAGTTAGTCTCAAAATGTTTGTAAAATTAATATCATTTAATAAATTAATACAAAAAAGAGTTTATTCATATTTTCAAATAAATATATATATTTACATATATTTATATATATATATATATATATACTTTTTCACATGGTAATAAATATATTGATTAAACAAAATACTTCTTAACCAGCATCCATCCAGATAATAAAATAGAAATTAATCTAAAAATGTTTCTTAAAATGAATTTCCTCGATTCATATATTTCGAGTCCCCATTTGACTATTTCTCAGTAAATACAAAACACGTATGTTATTAAAATATAAACACAAAACAAAATCTTGGTCAATAAAAATATTCCTTTGCATGACTCTAAGTCGTGCTTGATTTTCAAGATGTGATGGTCAATGTTATTATTTTTTCATTTATTGATTTATATTTCACTTGTAATTTTGCAATAACTTTGCGAAGGAATATTATCATTTATCATGATTTTGTTTTGCGTTTGTGTTTTATTTATATTTCTCATTTTACCTTCTTCAAATAATGGCCTAAAGCAATTTAAACTGAAAGAAAATGAAACTAAATAAAAAAGGCTTTTATATTTTAAATACAGCTAATTTATTTTGTATTCACAATAGCTATATTATTGGCATTGTATTTAGATTTACTTATAGTCAATAATAATATATTAAATATCCTAATCATACTTACATTTTTTTGTTCTTTTACTTTAATTCGTATTAATTAAAACAAATAATCATAAATATTCATGTCAAATGATTTCTTAAAATATACTAGCACAGATAGTTATTATATATACAAATATACAAATGCAAACAGCAAAGGCCATGTACACATTTATTTTAAAGTATAATGCAAATTTGTATTCCTCTTTAGGTAGTTGCTCACGCTCGTCAAAACATTATTACACTCATCAATTATTTAATCTAAACTCAAAAATAACTTGTTTTACATTTTTATTTAACACAGCCTAGCTCATCCCTCTTGCCTTTCAATTATATTGTACACGACTCCCAGAACTATTTACATTTACTAGTAGCTCTCATAATTTAAAAATGTGCTTTGAAAAACAAAATTAACTCTATTATATAAAATCATTCTATATATTTTTTATATCTCTTGTTAGGAATATCTATACAATGAATTCTTAAACATTATTTAGAATATAGATTATGCCTGTCTAGAGACATTTATATAAAAAATCTTCATATGACATATAATACATAAATACAAATATAAATGTCATTCCTAGTATGTTATATATGAATGACATAACATATTCTGAATATATGATTATTTCATATGTAGTTATGATACATACATGCTACTAAATCATGATTTTGTTTATAAAATATAACTTAATACTTGTTACTCATAATTTCAGTCACTATGATTTTTCTAAGTACTCCACTGGGTCAAACAACTGTTCAAATTACTGTAAAACTTTTTAACTAAATTTTTATAAGCCAATCATAATCTTAAACATGTATTAAACATATAAATCAACAAATTTAAATAATTAATGCTTACTACATATAAATAATAAACTAATACAAAAATCTATGGAAAAATACAAAATATTTACAATTTACTTGTGCACATTCATGTGAGAAACACCATCTTTCTATCTAATATTAACACAAGAAAAATATGTATCACACCCACAATATTACATGGACACAATATAATTACTATCCAAAAAACATGTGATTCCATTGCTTAAAATTGCAACTATTAAGAGTATTTAGAACGTAAAAATAAAAACAAAAGTATTTGAAAGTCATCAATAGTATAAAATTCTATATTTTATTAAATCTGCTCTTCAAACTAGAATATAATATATACAATAATTTAATTATCTAAAGTAATAGTCTATGCATCATGATTATTTAATAAAATTACCATGGCCTTGATATCAAATTAATATCATTTTGAATCGTTGCAAAAACCAACATCTGTACAATTGGTACATTATTCATAATTTAATATAAGTTGCAAAATGTTTTTCAATTAACTAATCTTGTATAAGTTATTTATATTATCATTACTTACAAAATGTTTCTTTTATAACACAGCACTGTACAACCTTTGTTCCACTCACTCGCATACTAACAATTTTATAAAGTCTGGATAAAATTGTAATTAGCACTCACAATCACTAAAGTTGATCAACAAATTTGGTAAGCTGCTCTTGAGGGGTCATACCTGGTAGGTCAGTGAGATCTGATTGGTTAGATTGAATAGATGGGGCAGGTGAATGTGTAGGATTAAGCATGGCATGAGGTGAAGGAGAAGGCTGCTGTTGGTGCCCCCGTGGGGAAGCTGAAGGTACAGCTCTAGGAGAAGGTGTTGGCTGGGGAGAACGAATTGGAGGCGGCGATCGAACAGCTTGCTGTTGTTGCATTAGTTGTTGTTGAATTGCATTGTGAGTTGGTGGGCCCATCATGCCTAAAATGAACATAAAATGATTGCATTTGAATTTCGCTCATAAAACGTTAATATATCTACCTGTTAAATCTACCAGGTAGTCGCTGTTTTGCAAATAAAAATTTGTTTTTGATATTTCATACAAATGTGATACTATTCTAGAGTAATAATATATATATTCATTAAAGTTTCTGCTTTCATAAAAAAATCGATTCACTAATTTGATGTTTTCTCGACGTTTCAAGCCATTCTGAATCGAATGAGATCAAATTTGGAAAAAGTATGTGTGTGTGTGAGCCGATTTTTGACCTTAAATCGACGTTTTCTCAAAAACGGCTAGAGCGATTTCAAAAATTTAAAAACCATTCTATCTATCTCGATGAGGACTAGCGTTTGTCAGTTTTGCGCGAAGATCGGCCAAGCCGTTTTTTTCTAAATAGCAGAAAAGTGAAAAAGTTTTTGGCCACTTTTTAGCTTACAATTCTGAATCGATTTCTTTCTTATTATTTTTTTGACGATAGATACCACGGTTTTATAGATAATACTAAAATATTACAGCCCTACGACAAGTGGTTTAATTTAAAAAAAATCGTCAAAGTTTTAAAAAAAATTAGTAACGTTTTTTTGGCGTTTGTCAAAGATAGACCATTCATCGACGTTTCCTCAAAAACGTCTGAGCCGATTTCAAAAATTTAAAAACCATTCTAAGTAACTTGATAAGAACTATCATTTCTCACTTTTGAGCGAAGATCGGCCGAGCCATTTCTTGAGCGAAAATCGGCGGAGCCGAGCCGTTTCTTCGTAATTAACTAATAAAAAAAAAATTCGATAAAACTTGTTATTTTGATAGAGATATCATGATCCTAAGAACATACTTAAATTTGGCGGCCCTACGGCAAGTAGTTTAATTTTAAAAATTCATCAAAGTTTAAAGAAATATAGTCAAAATTTGTGTCAAAGTTGTGATATCAAATTTTTTCAATTCATTAGAATTTGGAACCATAAACTAGAATATATATGAACACTTTATTTTTGAAATAAACATTTCAAAATTACACCTAAATATCCTAAATTTATATTATAACACATTTCGGAAAGTTCATGCAACTTCCTTTCATGCTAAATGCCACTTTCAAATTATTTATGTATTCAAAACAATAATAACTTGCATGTAAAATAATAGTAAAATTTTGTTTGCCTTTTTTATGTCCCTTCAATAATCACATAAAATCCAAGCCTCTAAACTGGAATACCCCTTTGGTAATAATGTTTATCACAAAATAAATTAAAATTATTATTATAAGCTATGTATATTATGATAAAAAAAATAATTTTGTAAAAATTTCGAAGATACGGTTATTGTACTAAAATTTCTCACAGTGCATTGTTTGGATCCTTTAGTTTTTGTGAATATATTGCGCATTTTCTTATATCAAATGTAAATTACTAATGTAAAATTCATTACCAATTAAGTAAAAAGCAATTAAATTAGAATCTTACCTTGTGGTGAAGGAGTTTGTGGAGGAACTGGTTTCATTCCTTGCATATTGTATTGTTGTTCAGTTGGAAAGGCATTCTGGTAAGAGCCAACTCCTCCAAGCTGTGCAGGCAGTTGCCCTCGCGACCTTTGCTGTGGATATGGTGGAGCAGCAAAGTTTCCACCCTGCTGCTGCTGCTGTTGTTGCAGCTGTTGTCGTTGTTGCAACATCATCTGCTGCTTGAACCACTGTTGTTGTTGAACATTCATTTGATTACCTCCCTGCAAGTGAAAATAGCAAACTTTTAGCAAATAGCTGTAAAACTGGTAAAACTGAATAAATAAAAAATTATAAAAATGTGTCATGCATTGAAGTGTAATAAAAATATTGAGAAAGCTATAAGAGTTGTATGAACAAGATGTAAAAATAAGTTTAAAAAAATGTTCTATTCTGAATTGGATGACATATTCAATGAAGACCAAACAACATTTAGAATATCATTATGAAATCATCATATGCAAGTGGGTGCTCATATGAGTTTAATATTAAGTACATTGAGACATGCAAAAGAAAATATACTACAATTATATTAAAAATTGACGAAAATAACATTTTTCACATGATTTACAAAGGTATTCAAATTTTTTTACCATTCCTTGATGACCTTGCTGCTGTCCTTGTTGTTGTAGTATGTTAGGAATCTGCATTCTATTTGATCCAGGCTTCATACCTGCATTCATACCAGGTTGTCCAGTAACATGTGGATTAGGACCTTGTGGAGTTCCCACCATATGTTGCCCAGGCTGCATCCCTTGTTGAGGAACAACTTGCTGTTGCTGTTGTTGCTGACCAACTTGATTAGCCAGAACACCAGAATTATTTCCAACTACACCATTGTTTTGAGCCGCCTAAATCAAAAATCAAATGTGTAAGTATTCTATTCATAACTGAGATATGACCACAAATATTTTTTTTATCAAGATTGTGCAAAAGTGTTTAGAGCAGCACATTTAACTATTCTACTGTGAAGTATGTGTTATAAATTCATAAGTTGTGAATATACTTTAGATAATTTATATCAAATGTATTCATTATATTTATCTGAATTATAAGACCTACCTGTCTTTGTTTTATAAAAGCTGCCATGAGTGTAGGATTACTTTTAAGTATATTAAGTATTTGTTGTTGTTGATCATTTGAAGCAGGATTTTTCAAAGTTTGCATAAGTTGTTGCAGTGCTTGTTTATGTTGTACAGGTTGTTGTCCCATTCCTGTCATTTGTGGTCCGCCAGGCCGAATTTGTCCAACAGGCATTCCAGGGTTTTGATTCACAAAATGTTGTTGCTGGTTCACATTTTGCACCATTCCAATCACTTGCTGCTGCTAATAATATAGATCGAATTTATAACACATTTCATAAATCTATTTTATCTACATGAATAACAAAACTCGTTGAGCTTTCAATAATTGGGACAATTTACTTTGTCATTCAATATTTCAATGAGATATTTATTTTGGGCATCATATAATAAGTAAAACCAAATATTATCAAGTATATTATATAACTTAATTATCTACTGAACGTATTTTAAATTTAGATAATGAATTGATCCAATTGTCTAAGAAAACATTAAACTAATTTAACAACTTTAATATTACCTGAGGCTGATGCATCACACCACCCATTAATGCATTAGGCGGCCTCTGTCCAGCCATTGTCGTAACTTGTTGATGTGTTGGATAACGCTGTGGAACCCAATGTTCCATGGAAACCAAATTGCCTTGTGGCCCAACTGCATTCTGTTGAACTTGATTTGTAAGATGGCCTGGCAGTCGTTGCTGTATACCAATTATTGGTTGCATCTGAACAGAACCAGGACCACCAGTGGATGTGCCTTTACCATAAGCGCCACCCCCATGAGGTGCTTGCTGGCGCGCAGCTTCCTCTTGAACCTTGATAAAAAAAATTAATAATCAGAATATTTTTTCAAACATTCATTAGAAAAATTCCAAGGCAAACATATTTGAAACACAGATTTACTGATAAAAGTAACTTGTTGACAAATTAATAGGCATAAATTATTGAAAATATGTATAAATCATTTTAAACATTTAAAAACCATTCAATGTAACTCGATAAGGACTATCATTTGTCAGTTTTTCGCGCAACTAGCATAGTCGCGCGCGAGAAGCACCCGAGAAGTTTTCAAATAGGTGGAGGGTCTCCTATATGGCCCTGGAAATTTTGTATGGATTGATTTAATTGTTTTCACAGAAAAAAATTTAGAAAATGGCTTTCTTTTGGAACATTAACTGTATATAACCCCTTAAGTCAATTATTACACATTTTGGGAAGTTCATGCAACTTGCCTTAAGGCAAAATGCTACTTTCAACTAGTTAATATAACACACATTTCGATATATTGAAAACATTTTGATCAATCTCATGTATATATGTATAATATGTTAGTGCACTGTCACTCAATGATCTCAAAATTTTAAAATGTTTATTGAAAAAAATTATTAATAAAATATTAAACTTGAGGAACAGTTTTTCAAAATGCTGATGTAAAATATTAGAATTATAAATTAATTCTAAATGCATCTCTCAATGAATCAGTACAAAAATCTCAGTGTTATTTCAAATTCAAACACTGAGTAGACTCAATTGTTGTTTCAAAATTATGTAGTTCAAATAGATAAATTATACTTCAACTACAGAATCAAATAGTCAAAATATATTAACCCTTTAAGTTAAAATGACGAGCAGAGCCCGCATGCGATTGCTAGGCCAAAAGGACCTAAGAATATTACGGGCATAGCCCGCGTACGATATTCGGGCCAAAAGCAAATATTACGCATTACGGGCGTGGCCCGGTATGGTGAACGCTAGTATTTTAAAATATTTATTCATACAAAACTATAAAACACAAAATTAATCTTATTTTTGTGATAAACCGTACACTATGAGGGAAAATGGTCACAACACCGCGCCAGCTTGAACAACTTTGGGCCGACATTTTCGAATCTAAATTGTAAGTTAAGGGGTTAATACTATATATAAGCTTTGTGTTAGCAGGTAAAAATAAAGTATTGTTGTTATTATAAAATATATTAAAAATATTTTTTACAAGAATGTGTGAACAAATTATTAAAGTGCATTGAAATATTTTATTGGTATTTTATGTCACACACCACCATTTTTTAATTCCATTAAATACTGTTTTCTTAAAAAAAAACTTTAAAATGAGGCTGTACCAAATTAACAAAGTTGGCTAAATGAAGTATACCTCTTCAAGAAACCAACAAATAGATTGCTGTATGTAAATTAACAGCTCAGAAAAACATATCAAGAACATGCTGGCCGATACATATGTCCTTAACCGAGGTTAAAAGTAATGAAAATTGTAGAAAATTCATAGATTGAAAATTTAATTAGTATTAATTTGTATTATGATATCTATCTTTATAATATTTATTATCCTAATACTTACTTGCTTAACCACTTGCAATACACTGGCTGGTGGTGTCTGTGTGCCTGCTTTCATTCCTATTCCTCCATGAGACGCAGGACCAGCTCCAGTTAACCCAGGTTGCTGAGATTGTTGTGCTGATGATGCTGGGCTTTGTACATCAGGTGACATTGCACCTGCACCACTCATAGACATGCCTGACATACCCGTCCCACTTCCCACAGGACTGTCACTTATTGTGCCTGATGTTACAGTTCTGGTATTCATTGCAGCCATACGTCTACGAAGCAATTGTGCTTGCTGTAATCTGAAATATAAAAAATAAATATTAAGATTTTAATTTAGGTCATGTTTATAAGAGTAACCAACCATAATAGAAAAAAATAAAAAAACATAGTAAATTTAAAATAAAATATTGAAAAAAGTCATACAGTCATACAGAGTTGTACTAGTTACCACATTCTTATTACAATCGAATAACTTTAATGTAGTTAAATGCATCGAATTATATTTTTATAAGACTGATTATAAATTATTTATTAATAGTAATATTAAGAATATAGTATAAATATAAAAAATAATCAAACAAACCTTTGCTGTAATTGCTGTTGTTTAAGTTTATGTTTTATACTTGAACAGAAAGGTACTGGACATTTAGTTTCTTGACAATGCTTAGCATGATAACAGCATAAAGCAATTAATTGCTTACAAATTGGACATCCACCATTTGTCTTCCTCTTACAATTTTTAGTGTGTTGTACAACACGTTTCATCTTATGGCAAGAAGGTGGACGACAATTAGCATCCCTACATTGGCAAGCATGTACCAATGACTGTATGCAACGCTGTATTGATAATTTTCTAGCATCTTGAGGATTTGTCTGTTTCTGGTCAGCAGGGGTTGAACCGTCGTCAATGTCCAAGCCGAGTTTGTCCATTTTATGTGGATGGTCCTCTTTCTTGTAGCATTTGGTACACAGATCAAAATCCTTATAAAAAAATACAGATAAATAGATCAAAATCCTTATAAAAAAAACAGAAAGAAAAAGTTTATAATACTTACATCACATATAGAGCAATGCCAACGAGTTTCCACATGGGACTTACAAGCATTGCAAGTATAAACAAACTTATCTTGACCTTGATTATGCAATTCCCAAAGCATGCACAAAGTGGAAAATTGAGCTCTTCTTAAAGAACTGAATTCATAATGCCGGTCACGTGCCATAGTTAAGAATGCATCTCTACCATCCATAAGGTCACAGTTAAGCAAAGGATCAGGATCTTGAATAGCCTGTAAATTAGTAATGGATTATTAGGTTATATTATTATAAGGCTTGTTTATCAACAAAGAGATGTAAATCTTACAGCCAAACTTGCAGCGGACTGAACACTGTGAAGTCGGATGACAAAAAAGACTTCTTTATGTTTCTCCATGGTAGCAAAAATTTTTGCACTTAAATCATTACCAGTTTGCTGTTCATTAGATTTCTTACTATTTTTTCGCTGGCTAGATTTGGATTTGTTTGATTTTTTAGCTTTCTTTTGGCCTTTCTTCTTCCCATCTGGGCCAATCTCATTATCATCCGAATGCGAAAATATCTGAAAATTTTTTAAGGATTAATATTCGTTTGCTGATAAAACAAGGAATTTCAAAACAATATTCTAACTTATGTTGATAAACTTACAGCATTAGCAGCAGCTTCTGCAGCTTCTGCCTGTTTTCGCTTTTCTTCTTCTTCCTGGTCTAATTCCTTTATACTTTCTTCTAATACATTAGGCCAGAAATCTCCTTCAAAATAAGGTAAATCCGCTGCACTGCATAATTTGTCTTCCATTGCTTGTTTTAAGATATCCTTATAATCTAATATAATTCTTTCTATAATGCCTTTATCAAGCATTTTCTTATACCACTCTTGTAATCGCTTTGGCTTAGGAATTTTTTGTTCAACTGGATGGCAGTGAAAAATATAGTCATCACCTTCTGACGGGGGACAGGCCCATATATGAGCCATTGTATAACCTAATTGTTTTGCATAGTCCATATAACCTAAAAAAGAAAAAAAAAAAACTTGAAACCTCATCTTAAAAAATTGAAAATAAATTCTTTGCCAAAATGCCTTACCTAATAAAATTTCATGATAAACAGCCGTTCTGTATTGCCTAGGCTGAAAAAAATGTACAGAATCCAAGTATGCAATATAAACTCTCCTTGTGTTAGGTGCAGGACACTCAGATCCATACTCTTGAACATGCATTCCAAAAAAACATACATCAGTTCCATCTACCTCTTCAAAAGCAAATAAGGCCTTTGCACGATATGGAAATTCACCTCGCAATTCTCCATTCTCAACAAACCTAAAATGCACAATTCAAATGGTAAATATATTAAAATGTCAATTTGTAATAAAATAGATTGCTTAAAATTATATACCTGCTTCTCATGCCTGGTTTGACTTCAACAACTTTGTCTGAGCTAGCTACAACTCGTATGTGAACTTCACCAGCACCTGCTTCTTTCTTTTTCAAATAATTATTTACCCTTGTTTCAATATATATGCCTAATTTTGATACTGGCAATCTCTTAGCATTAAATTTATTTTCTTTCCGTTTAGCACCTTTCTTTTTCAAACAATTATCACACACAAAACCACTTGTCCAAATTTGCTCTAAGTGTAGAACACATATTTGGTGTTGCTTTCTACCACAATCACCACATACAACAAAAGGTTCTAATTCTAAATGATCATTCTTCATTTCTTTAAACTGATCTTTTTTGATCACACTGTAAATAAATGATAATAAATAATATTAGTTATCTTATTAGTTTATCATAAAAAATAATATTCTTACGTTTGAGGTTGCAGTGGATCATCACCCAAAGTTACTGTATCACCTGGTATATCATTAAAGCATTTTTGGCAAAACGTATACCTTGAAGAAAAAGATAAAAATATTTATTATTTATTACATAGAGATTATTTACATTAAAATGTAACTCAATGTACAAACCTGTTCTGGTAACTGAAATATTTTGCATCCCTCGGTATTGTACACAATTGTTTACCATAACAGCAAAGTACTTGGGGGTTAAAAGTGTATTTACGTCCACAACAGTAACCCAATGCTTGCATGACAGGATCGATTTCCTGCTCAAAGACTTCTGATAGCTAAAATTAAAAAAACATATATAAGTAGGTATAAGTGGCACTTTGCTTTGATGTCAATAGCAATTTTTACATAGAAGTTAACACCAACAGGATTACCAACAAATTGGATTTAGGCAACATTAAACCCAGATTAGCATATATTCAAATGCGATTTTCAAAATGAATTCGCATATTGACAATGAAATCCAAATTTTTAGACCTGCAGCTTAAAATGTCTTGTAGACCTGACTTGAATTTGACCACGCCGCCATCTATTTTACTTGAGTTTATCGCATTATTAACTTCCCGCAGGAGAAGTTTATTTTTTCATCAAAAAATCCGATTCGCGAATTTTGTGTTTTCTCGACGTTTTAAGCCATTCTGAATCGAATGAGACCAAATTTGGAAAAAGTATTGATGTTTGTATGTGTATGTGAACAGATTTTATGCCGTAAATCGACGTTTTCTCAAATACGGCTGGACCGATTTCAAAAATTTCAAAGCCATTCAATGTATCTCGATGAAGGTTAGCGTTTATCAATTTTGCGCGACTATCAGCCAAGCCGTTTCTTCGTAAATCGTAGAAAAGCGAATTTTTTTCGTCCACGTTTTAGCCTGCAATTCTGAATCGATTTTGAGAATACAAAAACTGTTCGAAAGGTATTGGTTGGGAATCGTGCTGACTAGTTTTTGGTAAAGGTCGGCCGGGCCGTTTTCTTGTAATAAAGTGTTAAAGAAATTTTTTCTCGACGATTTTTATGATTTTTTTTGACGGTAGATACCATAGTCCTATAGATCATACTAAATTAATTTGAATTTAAAAAATTCTTTAAAGTGTGCAAAAATTAGAATCGTTTTTTGGCATTTGTCAAAATTAGACCTTTCATCGACGTTTAAAAGCCATTTTATGTATTTCAATGAGGACTATCGTTCGTCAGTTTTTGCGACGATCTGCCAAGCCGTTCCTTTGTAATTAGAAAAATATTTAAGCCGATTTTTATGGAACTTTTTTTGGCGATATATATCATGGTCTTATAGAACTTACTGAAATATTACTACGGCCTTACCACAAGTAATACAATTTTTTAATTCAATTTTAAAAATTCGAAGTTTGAGAAAATTAGTAGTATTTTTTTGACATTTGTTAAAATTAAAATTGGACGAATTACTTAGTATAACGATAGAGTGTTCGTTCGTTTTCAATAGTGTGTAATAAATACACTCGGAATACTTTTAATCACTCATAAATTAATTTATATTTTATTGATTAAGTTGATTATTTACACATATCGGGAAGTTCGTGTATCAGTATTTTAACAAACTGATTGCTGATTTAAAATGATTTTAACCATATATTTGCTTAAAGTACAACCTTATAAGTACAACGAGTTTCTACAGGATCATATGACGTTAGGAAGTATTGCAGATTACTCGATTTCATACAATTTGACAAAGATACTATATCGTTATATCCAAAAAATATTTTGAATGCTATCAATTGTTCAATGAAAGAAAACGTCGCCAAACAAAAGGGAAAAACTTGCACTTTTTACACTTTGCAGTTTGGAAGTAAAAGGTCGACCGATCGTCTCGCAAAATTAATCAGCGCTAGTTCTTTTCAAGTTTCACGGAATGGCTTTTAAACTTTTGAAATCGATACAGCCGTTTTAAAGAAAAACGGCGAAAAGTCATACATACAAACACATACACCTTTTAATTTTGTTGTTAATCTTTTCAGAATGGCTTAGGAAGCTTACATATTGCTACAATAAAATTTTCAACTGTTCATTTGAAAAAAAAAAGTTTTTACTAAAAACTAATCAATTCAATTTCCAATTGATATCATGCGCAATTATGTAAAATCTGTAATTGTTTTAACTAAACAGTGAAGGAATCAGTGAAAGTGCACAACTGAACGAAATATACACGGCGTTGATTCTAAGTGAGACATATTCCAAACATAATAGTCGTAATATTATGTATATTAGTTTATACACCACGAAATCTTTTGTCATACAAAGTTTTATCAAAACCGCCCAAATGTTTTCAATAATTAACTAGTAAGAAACGGTCCAGCCAATCTTTACCAAAAATTAATCAGTATGATTCAAAACTGATATTTTTCAAAGGGTTTTTATTTTCAAAATCGTTAGAGGATTTTTTTTGTAAAAGTTTTGACGAAAAATTTTGCACTTTTCCGCAAATCTAAAGCAATATCTCTATGTCGATATATTGCGCAATCTCGGTTTTGAAGATTTAAACGAATCTGATGTGCTGGATCTACTTGCAGCTGATAGGGAACCCCTTACATATGAGAAACTCCTTCAGTTGCAAGTAGAGCCGGCAATTGATGAAGATACAGAACCTGTTGTATCCAAACAGCTAACAAAAAATCATAACAAGCGCTTTTTCATATTTTGAACAAGGAATAAACATCCTCCTTGAAAACGATCCTGACGTCGAACGTAGCGCTAATGTCTCTCGAGGAATTAACTCAGCCATTAGCTGTTATAAATCACTAAAGGAAGAAATAGACAAGAAGACAGAACAAACAACTTTAGACAAATTTTTCAAACCACCCGCGCAAAATGATGGTGACAGTGATCTGTAGGTTTTAGTTGTTTCATTTTTATTTAAAAATTATGTAATGTTTTTGAAGATTTTTCTTTTATGTAAAATTTATATGTATCATGTTAAATATGTATATAATTTGAACAAACTAAAAATATATATTATAGAAATCGGCATTCAAGAAAACAAAATTAGCAAATTGGATTTTCTGGTTTGAGAAGTTTCGGTTTCCCATTGAGAAGTAGAAATATTAACTTTGTTACCATTGGTTAAAGCAATTTTGCATATAATCAATATTTTTACTTACTTTTGTACAGTGTCTGTGTATCCTTGTAGTCTTCTTATTATAAAGCCAGGCGTTATCAAACATAAGCCATACATCATCTACATATTCCCATGGATCACTGTATTGTCCTGTGTCCAACTTTCTTTTAATAGATGATAAATCCATAGGTTTTTTTATTATATTGAAGTAATCAGGTATTCCTAAAAGAATTGGATCCACTGGTTCTCTAAATGGCAAAGATTCTGGATCTTGCCTATATAATTTTTCTAAGGTTGGCATTAATGCTTGGCGAAGTTCTTCAGGTTTAAATACTGAAATCATAATTATAATTAAAATTCAGTACATACTTTTGCCTATATTGTAAAAATATATAGAATAGTATAAATCAACTTACAGCATTTCCGTTTCTTATCTTGAACACTTGATTGAATGGGTTCAGGAACCATAGGCTTAATATCCATTATATCACTTTGTGATCTAGGTGTTCCAGGTTCCTCTTTAATCTCTTCTTTAACTGTGATCTGGAAGTATTTAAATTTTATGTAAATATGATGTCATTTAGCAGAAGGATTTCAAAAACTAAGTTTATTTTCTAACCTCTCCATCTTCCATAGGTTCAGTTTTAATTTCTGTTTTAACACCATTGCTGGAGTTGTCCCCCTTTGTCATGTGATTTGATTCTCCCTCTTCTCTTTTAATTTCAGCACTCTCATACTTCATTTCCAATTTACCACTTTGCTTTGTTGGAGAAGGAGATGTTTCCTCTTCTTGATCATTAGCAGCAGCCACAAGTGCAGCCATTTGTGAACTTCTGGAATTCAATGAAGATCTATCGGCCCCAATTCTTTTTCCCAGGGTCACGTTACTATTCGAAACTGGAGATGTAAGGCTAGGTGGAGGTGTTTGATCTGGGTGGGGTGGCAATGTGGATGCCATATTTGGTGTTCCAGGCATTGTACTAGGCACTGATGTATTTGAAGGTACCATATTAGGACTTGGACTCGGCACAGGAACTTGGGAAAGTTGATTTTCTGATGTTGGAGTTGGTGGCATTGGACCACCTACTCGATTATTCTGTTGCATGTTATTAAATTGCATATTGTTTGCTGAGTGTTTCCCAAAGGGTCCTTGAGAAGGCACAGTTGCCTGATTTGCAGATGTATTAACTGAAGCTGAGGCTTGAGCAGCAGCCAAGCGAGCTTTCATAACATCAGGATATTGCATATTAGGAGCCGGAGATGTTGTCGGAATACTTGGTCCATTCGAATTTGAAAATTGATTGTTTCCAGGCACATTTGGAGTTGTAGCTGTAGGAGGAGTCATATTAGGACTTGGTGCAATAGTCTGTCCAAAAGGTGACAAGCCTGAATTTGGTACAACCATATTTGGTTGAGTCATATTATTGCTGTTGGGACTTTGGCCGGGTTGTCCAACCACCATATTATGCTGTCCAGAAAAGGGTGCCCTAATTGGTAAATTTATATTCATGCCAGGGGAGTGAGTTGGAATACCTTGTGAAGTATTTCCTGTAATATTTTGTTGTTGAACAGGAAGATTGTGGCCAGGCAAATTTGGCTGATTTGGTATTACAGCACCTGGCATGTTAGGTTGTCCAGGAGCACGAACTAGATTTGGAGATAGAATTTGTGGGCCTGTCGCTCTCATTGCTTGTCCAACAACACCCACTTGTTGCTGCTGTTGCTGTTGCATTTGCTGCTGTTCTTTCCTCTTAAGGCGTTTCTCTTCTAGCTCTTTTTGTATCTTATAAATTTTCTCAGCTAATAAGTGATAATATTCTGATCGAGAATTAGCTGCTTCATACATATCACCTTCTACCTTCCGTGCATATGCCACTAAATTATGCATACGTTTATCAAGCATAGTTTGGGGATCCGGAGTCGGAAATATTGCTTGTACCAGTTTATGAACTAAGTGATTCCTTAAATCAGGCGTTACAGACTGATGCCATTCTTTGGTTCCAGGCACAGGAGCAGCTGTCACTTGCCCAGCTTGCAAACCACTTGGTAAAGACAGATTATTGCCTCCCAAGACACCACCTCCTAAAACTGAATTAGCTTGCTGATCAGATCCTCCAAATAACTGCATATTAACAGACTGTTGTAAACTTGTTGATGTTTGAGAAACTGACGGTACCGGAACTCCTGATTGACTAATAGGATTTGAGGAAGGATCCGAACTCAAAGGTAAACTAACATTTGGTGCAAGCACTTGGTTTTGATTAGTGCCTATTTGATTCTGGTTAGGACCCAATACACGAACTTGAGTCATATTAGACTGGTTGGTAGAACCCAAAACTACAGGAGCAACAAGTCGAACTGGTCTAGGTCCTTGACCTGCCATATTGCAACTATTTGGTAATATAGCACCACCAGGTTGACCAGGAGGTGTTATTCCAAGAGCATCATATGCTCTCCTCATGTCTGAAGGAGAAGGATTTGGAGTTTGACTATTCGGTATAGGATTAGTGGCAGCTGCAATTATAAACATAAAATAATTAATAAAATTTCTAGTTTAGATAGTCTATTAAAATAATAATGCTACTCACCATTAGTGTTATTATTTCTATTTTTATCTGCCTGTTTCAATGGCAAACAAACTGGACAGTCAGATCTTGTGCAATGTTTCCAGTGACTAATAATTTGTCGTGAACTTGAGCAATGAGCAACACCACAGCTTTTTCCAGCTTGGCATGTAGTCATATGATTTAAAACACCCTTCATTGTTTTACAATGAGGCAAACTACACTGACCAGTTTCACCATTTGCCATAGATTCTCTCCGTTGACATTTGTGTGCATGCAAAAGTAAAACCAATTGCTGTTGAATCAATTTGCGCTTTTCGGGATCCGCTGAAAATTTATATTACATATTAATTGTTGTAACATTAAAGCAATATTTTCATAAAAAAATTCTTGAAACACCATAAATCTTAATTAAAACTTTTACACATCCCATTAAATAAATAAATAAATAAATATATATATATATATATATATATATATATATTTTAAAAAAAACCAAAAGATAAAAAAAATGAATTTTATTAACAAAGTGTTTATTAAATCAAATTAGCATTTTTCAAATGAAGTTTCTTAAGCAAATTGATAAAAAAAATTATATACCTAAGCCAGTTGCAGGAGATGGGTTCATTTGTTGTGTTGCTGTTTGTGGTCCAGGTTGAGACCCACTAGGAGCACCAGATTGCGGCTGAGCTGGAGAGGGTGCAGGAGGTTGTGTTTGGCCTGCCATACCTCCTTCACTAGTAGTTGCAGTATTGCCAACAACTCCTGGTTGAATAGAACCTGGAACACCAGCATTTCCTACTTGCTGTCCAGCTCCTGGTACATTCACAGCTGTGTTAGTGGCAACAAAACGGTTTTGTAATGTGGCCATGTTAGGTCCTCTTTGCTGTGGTGCTACAATGCCAACCGCAACTGATTTCAGAAATAAAAGTGACCAAAAATTCAGTTATAAACTATTATTTAGGATAATATTATAACACAATGAAACTTTCAAAATAATTGGAATTCAAATTATATCCATAAAATGTGAAATCATTATGTTAAAAAAAATTATATTAAAACTACAAAAATTATCAACATATTTTAATGATGGCAAATTGTATTTGCAGGGATTACTACAGTATTATAAAAAATGTTTGTCATTATTATATTTTTTTAACATATTAAATTAATTACCTGGTAGTTGGGGTTTCATTGCATTAACATTCACTGGGCTGTTTCCACTGTATCCATAAGGTGGACCTTGCATGTTTCCCATTTGGCCCATAGGCATATTTGGTGCCTGCATACGCGGCCCTCCTATATGATGACCCACCACTCTTGGCCCCATTAAACCTCCTGGCTGCATTGTAGCACGAGCAATCATTGGTCCATTCTGCATTCCCTGAGAGTTGAAATAACTCATTTATGATGTTTTTGTAATATATATACAATAGAAATTTCTGCTTAAATGCTATAACTTGCATCATAGTATAATATAAATATAATTATCAAAAAAAAAAAATATATATATATATATAGTACACTGATACCCACATACTCATTGAATTGCAACCGAAATATGATTGCTTTACCTTTCCAACTGAAGATTTTTTTGCAAATGAAAAATAAATATAAGTCATTCAATTCTAATGTAAAAAAATATACCAATGGTAAGAAGAGTCACAAAGTAAGTAAATATCCCTTCTTCAAGCCATTCACAACTCAACCCAATATAAGTTTTATCAGTTTCCTAGAGCAGAAGTTTGTTGTTCTCAAATCAATAACTTTTCTTTAAATCTCTATAATATTTAGAGTCGATCGTGCTCTTGCATGAATTACATTATGACCTGTCAAATTGTTAGCTTTGTTAATGAAATAAAAATTGTTTCATGAATGTTTTTGCAAAAAAAAAATCCTCAATCGATTTCAGATTCAGATTTTTGACCGCACAGTTTCTTCTATTAATGAACTGTTGAAAAAAAAATTTGAATAGTTTTATTGAAACTTTGCATGTTGAAGTAGAATTCAATGATTTTGAATGCGAAATATGCTTCGGACAGCCTGCTTGTAAACATTATGCTAACCTAGTTAAAACCACTATTGTTTATATTTTAATATTAGTGCAGACATATATTATTGAAATTCATTTAATGATAAAATAATCATTCACATTTATTTTGTACAAAAATATTTCAACATTAAAATAATGAACATTGTGTCCTCGCAAATATAAATGTTAATTATTACTTGCTTACACACACATAATCCATAAACATATGCTTAAAATCATTCTCACAAAGTTATATATTTGAATAAAAATATTTTGTATAAATATAACAAATTTTTCAAGTTACGTCATAGGCCAATACCATAAAAGTCATAAATACATTAGAAATATAAAAATATACCATTTATCTAAAAGCTTAATTCACACATAAAAAATTTTCATTACCTGTGATAAACCATGTTGAGTGTGATGCATCCCTGGTTGGCCTCCCATCATTGGAGAAGCTGAAAGTGGTTGCTTATTCACACTATTGACCACTAGTCCACCTCCGCCCATAGTTGCATGCCCACCTGTATTCATAGAGCTGTTCGTCATTATCATTCCCCCTACTGATGTTGCACTATTTAATCCTAAAATAGGTAATAGAAAATGTAAATTTTTTATATAATTATTTAAATAATCATATGAAAAATAAAGAATAAAATTGTGAGAGAAGCAAGTTCTATCAAGTAAATCTTTAAAGCAAAAAAAAATTAGCTGTGAATTAACAAAATAGTCTTAACAAACTGTTTAGAACAAGTAATAAATATGAATAGAACTTTTGTGATTAGGTGAGTTTTTTTTATCTAATTGTAATAAATATAAGTTATTAATTTGTTTACCTTGCATTGAACTCATAGGCTGATTATTACTATTAGACATTGACATGGGCATAGAATTTGCCATTGAATTTGACATACAAACATTGTTGGGCATGTTGCTATTAATAATTTGATTTTGTAACCCCATGCCCATGCCGTCTTTAGTTCCTTGTGTTACTGGAGATTGAAGATTTGGACTCTTACTGGTCAACAAACCTGTAAGTGCCATCTGGTTTCCTAATCCTTTTGTATTCTGCAATTAATTGTTAATAGTAAGTAAATCGTTTAAGCTGTTGGATTGAAATATTTAATGATCAATACACACTTGCTGCAGTTGATGATTGGATTGATTAATTCGTTGAATATTGTCTTCTCCATTGATAGATGCACCAGGGCCTGGCCCTTGCGCTGGAGGCTTACTGCCTCCGCCAATTTGGTCTCCCCAAGAACCACTTGAAATTAGCTCATCAGGCAAATCTTTTTCCAGATCAAACATATCCATTTGAGAAATAACATCTGAAAGTACAGTATATAAATACATTAATATACAAATAATTTTACATTCTTCATCACTAAAATATGTTATATATATATTAATAATAAACAATATGTTTCAAGATAAAATATAAAAATTGTTAATCATATCATCATGCAATTAATTTAATATTTAATTAATTCTAATATTTACATTTACCATAGTTTTAAAATTATAGGTTACATTTAATGCATAACATTGCTGACAAATATCTTCCAAAAATTTATAAAATCTGAAACATTTTTTCAGTAAAGTAACAAATAGCAATCAGAAAGCTAAAAAAACATTTAATTTCAAATAATTTTCATATACTGAAGCATATCAATAATGCAAAATTATTTTATTATTATATATATATATATATATATATATATATATATATATATATATACATATATGTTTACAAATGCAAATCAAATATTTACACCATACAATAATAAATGTAAAAGCACTTTTTTTTATCATGCAAAATTTATTTAATTATATGTCATAAATATTTTGGGTTGCATATGTATATTGTTTGGTGTTGTATTAATAAATATATATGGTTAATTTGTTTACTTCTCTTCTGTTGCATATGTTGCATAACTTGTTGCTGGTTGTTCCATTGTTGATTTTGCATAGGGCCTCCTTGTGAACCTCCGTTACCCACAGCATTGCTCAATCCAAAGTTGTAAGATTGGTGCATCATAGACATCGGAACTGCACCCATACACCAATTGTTAGCTTATATTATTAATACAGCTATTGTAAACAATATACAATATTTTCTATACACATGGAGGAGTTTCACAAAATTTTAATTTACCTCATATCACCATGTATAATTAATAAATGTGTGATATAAAAATTTATTTAAAATTATAAATAAAAAAGCGCGGACATGCAGAGCGTTTTCATGCTGACATGCAAGTAGAGATTAATCAAGAACTGTTTATAATATTAAATAATTCAATTCGATTTTTTTCAATCTTAATACCGCGTTAATACAGATTGGCAACATATCTGTCATAATTTATTTTTATTAAATGAAGTCTTTTTTAGCACAATATTTTTCAAAAATCATATTTTATGGCATTTATAAAGTAAATAAGATAAATTTCGATAGATTTGCGGGTTTATAAAAAATAAACATATCGGTAAAATACGCGTTCGTTTACCCACATGTCAAACTGATGTCTAGAACTCCTTTCCACATATATGATACACATGCAAATCTTAAAATTAAATTGAGCAAATATATCATAAATATCTCACCCGTATTGTCTGAAGGACCCTGAAAGTGGTCCCTCAGCTTTACCCGCTTATTTGGGGGCTCGTCTATAAGATGATCGGCCATGGTCCTATGTTTACCAAGCTTTACCGCCGCGAATCGAACCTACTACCCGCCGAATGCACTATCACTATTTATTATATTTTCAGTTCGTTGCACATTTTTTAGTGATACATGACGCTGGTTTTTAAGTAAAACTACTTGTACAACAGTTTTTTGCGTATCATGTCGCCCAAATAACATATTAAAAAATCCAACTTAATCATTAGCCATTACGAGAAACCTATCGACAAGCTTACAAAACCTCTCACCATCTTTCGTCGGTACTGTGCACAATGAAAGCAAACAATTCACGAAAAAAAACCTCACTAATGATACATTTTTGTACATATAACACCTAATTTTTATAACATATGTATTTATAAATCACAATCTGCACAAATATTTGATGGAAATCTATACACAAGTCACAATTATTGAAAGAACGAATGCGAAATTTCTACTGAATGCTGAAAGTCAAAATGGCGGCTGTTGATGTAAAGTTTTTCTACGCTTGTCATAAAATGTCTGCCTGTTTGTTAAAATGTTATACGATGTGGATTGGTTGGTAGTGCCCACGTGATATCGTACTCAACTGTGGTTGGACGTTATACGACAGTAGTGCCTTTGTTGCTGTGTAGTCGGCGCTGCGATCGCGTGGACTACTTCTTTAGTAGATGTCATAGGGTGTCATTTACACAACATTGAAATATGAAGTAAAGACAGATAATACATCCTTGTAAACACATATTTTAACTCTTTTTAATGTAATAAAATATTCCAAACCGTGCTAATTTTTTACTGTTTTGCCCCTGAACAATTTACAAATAAATTTCTTATAAATATTTCCAATAACTATATTTTTTAAAAGTTAGTTAAACAAACGGGAAGGATTAGTAATTGTTCAATTATTAATAAAAGATATTTCAAACAATAAAAATAGATTTCCAATAAATCAAACATATTCAAACTATTCATAATTATTATTATATTATCAAGTATTCTGTTCATTTTCTTAAATTTAATTCAAAATTGCGCAAAATGTTATCATATATCTCATTCTTTGTATTGTTTACTTTATACATTTTTTTCTCAATTTGACTAATATTACACGCGCCCCATAGTCAGTATCGTAATCTATATATCAAATAATAAGTTAAGATTTACTTTACAATACATTATATTACATTGCATTATTATTTTAGTGTAAATTTTCGTAGGTTTATGCGCGAACGTTCATGATCGAAATAAAAAATTCTATAAATTATATAATTTTATCGATTATTAACGACTTAATTTATTTAAACAATCTAAAGATTCAAAACTTCAAATAAGTCAAATTAATACTCATAGACGGGCGACTTAAGCAATCGCACGATTATTTGTTATCAATTTCTTTCATTCCACAAAAATAGTTAAAACAAACGTATTCTTTATCAAATTTATTAAATATTGAAATATTTGTGGTGGGAAAAAATAATCCTTAAACATTAATATGTTGATAATGAATGCATTACAAAGAAAAACGTCTGTTTAATAATAATGAAGAAAAACTAAATAAATTCATAAAACTTTTTAAAATCATAAATATATATTGAAATAGTTACTGAAAAAAGCAAAACATCCAGATACAGTGGTTTAATAATTATTACTATAAAAAGCTATACATATATTAAATAATGCATTTAAGTAATAATAAAATTATATAACCCCTTTCAAAACAGTATAATATAATATCTTCACAATTTTTCATACTAAGTACATATTTTAACACAATATAAAATATTCTAAACAGCATATTATGTAAATAATTGTAATACTTACACAAATATCATATAATATTGTAGAATTTTATAAAGTAAAATATATATAAAATATTATAAACAGCATAAAATATGTAAATAATTGTAATACTTACACAAATATCATAATATTGTAGAATTTTATAAAATAAAATATATAAAACTCTAAGAAAAGAATGTTTAAATATATATATTATATTATTAAATATATATTCTGAAGATTATCTCTAGAGATGCAGATGAGCTGTTATTTTATTAAATAGTGCGTTTCCATTAATTCTCTCCCAATTGCTTAAACTTATAGGGCTTGAGATTTCAATTGCAGTATCTTTAAATAGAAAATTTCTAATTTGGACCTGTTGAAATGTGTATGATAAAATATACAAAAGATATTTCGTGAAATATAAATCAAAATAAATAATTAATGATATATCATAATTTTTATTGGTCATATATAAATTTATACTATAATTATAAACATCAGTACATAATCATAAAATAATTTATATCTTATTTGTTATTATTAATAATCCTAAATACTATCCTAAATATATTTGTAAAAATAGTATACATCAAGCTGTCATAGTAACAATAATTAGCATTCAAAATATTTTAATATTAAACAATATGCTTTAAACCTTAAATACAAGTAAAATATTTATTTTCATTTATGCTATGCTGAATGTATCGTACTTCTCTATGGATATCTATAGTTAAAAAATCTACAAAAATTTACATCAGAAAATATTAAATATTTATTGCAATTCCAACAAAATAATTTGCCGTATACTTTTATATAAGAACCTATGCTATTAATAGGTACTATTTTACCTATTAATAGGTGAATAAAAATTTAATTAGTGATATTTGAATAAATATATGTATATTTTCAATCAAGGCACCATTATGGCAAGGCTAGAGGTGTGTATCGTTCGAATTCTGAAATATAAAATGTTTAAAAATACTTAAAGCTATACAATTTGATTATTCAAATAGTTAGTCAGTTGAACAAAAAAATACTAAAAAATTATTTTTCATTAATGATTCCTGCTAATGATTCAGATGCATCCAGTCCGGCTTTGTTTTTCTTCATCTGAAAGTATTTTATTGACAATAGTAGTAAATTATATTTTAAGATTAAGATTATTTTCAATATGAAAACAATAATAAAATCATTTTAAGAATTTGTTGATAATTCAAGTAGACGATTATCATTCATATATTAGTCTATTATATTAAATAATTAGTATAGGTAAAAATGCTTTTAATGGAAAAAAACATGTTGCAGTTAGTGCTTTTAGTATTGTTAGTACAAACTCACAGGCATATGAGTAGATCGTTCACCTGGCACTTTTTCATTCATTGGACATACTAATTCTCCAAGATCATCTAACGTGGGACTTTTATGGCGTTTTAAAGAGAACTGTGATTTCTTGGGAACCTTCAAGAATAATATTTTAGTTTACAATATGTACATTTTATTTATTATTATCATTTACAAACCTTCACTTTAGCTGTTAGGGTGAGTGGAACAAAGCCAAGAGTAGACTCGGCCTCACGTTTGCCTTGCATAATATCTCGACCAAGTAATTCCTTGAAATGCGTGGCCAAATGCCTTCTTAATAAAGTTTTGTTAGCAGGAATACTCAATAAATCAGCTAGCAAGTCGCTTGAAAATCGAGGTTCGTGCACCAGCATAGCTCCGTGTACACCTTAATTAAAGTAAAAAATAAAAATAAAATCAAATGCTTGTTCGTATAAATTCTGGAATCATAACTAGCAAGTCTCAAATATCCATTTATTTCATGTAAATCTAATAAGCCAAGTGAGTAGGATGCCGAAGCAATTCTATTGCTTTAAAATGTTAAGAAAGATGTTTATAAAAGATACTGAGCACATGTTTATAAGAATAAAAATATACTGAATCACCCACAAAATTTAACCAAACCCTAACCAAAAATAATTTAGAATTAGAAAAAAATAGTACTATTAATGTATACTTTGACTATATTATTGCTCTTGCCAAGTTATTTGGTATACTTTGCAATTAGAAAAAGTTTCGGAGGTAAGGTTTAAATAATAACAATGCTATCCATAGATAAAACGGAAAAAGCTAAAACTGCTACTTTGAATATTTAAATTCAAATTATCAATTATATGAAGTTATATGAATATTATAATTCAAACATTTATAAAGAATATTTTATTTACGAAATTCTGAGAACTGCTCCTATAAAATTATATACTCGAAGTACGTATCAGATTCAAATTGAAAGCTTATTAGATGTTTTTGTTGAAGGGTGTGTGTTTTTGATTATAAGTGCGTATAATTATTATGTTCCCAAAGAAGAAGTTCTCCAGAAAATCCTATTCGCTAATTTTATGTTTTCTCGGCGTTTCAAGTCATTCCGAATAGTTCGACTTTTGCAAAAAGTTCATGTGTGTATATATAGGTCTTAATTTAACCTTTTGTCGATTATTTCTCAAAAAACGTGCACCGTGCATTCAAATATTTCAAAAAATTTGTGACCAGCCGCGCCGTTTTCATAAAATTAGCAGAATAATGCAAAAAATTTCGTTCATGTTTCAGCCAAAAAAACTGAACCAATTTTGAAAGTTCAAAAACTGTTAGCAAGATATCATTTGGGAGTCGAACTGATTAGTTATTGGTAAAGATGGGGTAGGCCGTATCTTCGTAATTAATTGTTGAACTTTTTTTTAGCGATTTTTGCAAAATTTTGTATAATGATAAAGTTCATGATCTTAATGTTTATTCTAAAATATTATAGGCCAAAATATTAACAATAAAGTGGTTTGATTATAAAAATTCTTCAAAGTTTGGAATAATGGACCCTGTGAAAATGGTAAAACTCAATCGCCTCTATTCTAAATTTCAATTCTTATTATTAAGTCTATATACATAACGGGAAGTTTTTGCAACTTGCCTTAAGGCAAATTTTCACCTAGTTTTTATATAATCTGAAGAAATTGTACCATATTTATTAAACTTTGTTTCATTAATGTAAACAATATTATATTAAGAGAGTATAATGATATTCCTAAAATAGGTGTATACAATATAAATCTTTATGTAAAAATCAATGTCAAATTAATTTTTTTTTGTTCATTTATGAGTTTATTACTACGATTTAACTTACACGATTTAAATTGCCATGTATAGACTTTATACCTCATACTCATTGTCAGAAAAATTTAAAACATTTTATATGCAAACTTTTCACACAAAACATTTATTTCTTAATTTTTACTCCTTTTCGCTCAATATTAGTATTTTTTAACTTCCCGTAGGGTAAGTTATTGTAATGGGCCGAAAATCGGAATTGAAAATTTTTACATTTCTCGACGTTTTGAAGGTTTCTGAACGTTTTGGCATACCTAAGAAAAAATGGATGGATGTGTGTGTGTGTGTGTGTATGTATGTGGATACAAATTTCCAGTCACGTTTTAGGGCGCACGGATCAACCGATTTGAATGGTTCAAAAAACATCCGATTCCTATTGATAGGGAAAAGAGCTGATTAGTTTTTGGCAAAGGCAGGTCTAGCCGTTTCGGAGATACGGAGTATCCGATTTGAATGATCTAAAAAACATTCAATTAGTAATGATTGGGAGAAGTGTTTATTAGTTTTTGGCAAAGGCAGGCCCAGCCATTTTGAAGATACGGAGCTAAATATGTAAAAAATGGCAGTTTTTGAGAGAACTAAGCATCCGATTTAAATGATTCAAAGAACTTTCTGCTTGTCTTAACAAAATAATCGATTTTGGAAAAAAAAATTGTCCCATTTTTTTTTTTTTTTTATTTTTTTAGATTTTTGTATATCGAATATATTTATTTTTAATTCTGACTATAGTTCTAATATACTTTGCAAATAATTTCAACTCTGCAATTCAGTTTATATAATATTTATAAATATTAGACAATGTTACAATATTTATAATAATCTATTTGAAAACATTCAGTAATCCTCGAGCATTTCGTTACGGTCCGGGAAGTTCCAGCAATTTGCCTTAAGGCACGATGCCACCCACCTCACTAGTTTTAGTTTGTTTTTAATGTAATATAAAATAGGAAAAAAATAAATACCTGTATTTTTGAGATTAGTAGCATATTCAGACAAATCAATATGTTGCAACCATTCCATAATACGGTGCACACTCCATCGAGCGATATGATCGGATGTAATAGGCACCGGATCGCTCTCTTTGGAATGCTTTATCATGGTATCCATATTCCATGCATGCTCACGTAAAACCTGCAATCATAAAACGATTGTCGATATTAAGAAATAAACTTTTTGTCAGATTTAAATAAATTTATTATTCTAGAACGTTGCATTTCATTAGCTAATAATTTTATAAACTTGAATTTAATACGTACTAACGTAATAATACGAAATAATTATGTTCAAACTTCAATACTACACAGAACGTTTACTTACAAGTAATCTAAGTCTCGAGCTATAAATTATTTTGAATAAATATAGAAGGAACCCCTGCGTAATATGTATACGGAGTTATTTTCTAAAATCATGTATGATTAATCCAAACTTTAATTCATCTTTACAGTTAAACCACTTATTATAGTCCTCTAATATTTAATTTTTATTCAGAAAGTTAATAATATAGTTAATCATGGTTGAAATAGATTATTTTTATAAAAGTTTCAAAAGGTATTATTTATATATGAAGTTTAACTATTGACTATGAAAATTTATCAGTTAATTAAAATTTAATTAAAATATTTCTTGTCCTTTAATAAAATAAAGTGTAATATTCACCTGTATTCCTCTTCGTAAACTAGTAACATGCAGCAGATTGGAAATGTGAAGCGCTGCTATGTCATCCATATTGAGACGATGCAAAAGTCGACCATCGATTTGAGCTTGCATAAATATATCCTTATACTGAGTTAATCCTGCGTCGTCCAACCACCGTAAAACCTAAATATATTTATAAACATTATGGGAATATATATTACTTAACATCAATAAAACTAAAATAGTTACTGTAGAAGTATTCCATTTTCCAGCATTCTTCAAATGTTCATCATCACTCGTACCTCGCAAATCACTCAAAGCTAAAACTATTTTCTTGCGATGAAGATGACTTTTTATTGTAAATGCTTTTTCTAAATCAGCTACAAATAAAAATAAATTTTAGCTATTAAGCATTATTATCATTTACTAAATTTATTAAATATTTTAATTTATATGATTAGCTTACTGGGTGTAGCATCAAGAAGTTTGGATCCATTTGTAATAATTTGTTTAGCTGCCTCATTTTCTATAAAATCGATCCCTAAATCACTCCGCATCCAAGATAATACTCGTTCTCTTTCCCATTCTTTGAAAGGTATGTTATAGCATGGTCTTTGAAAGTAAAATTAATGTATCATTTATTAATTTATTTATTGACTATTATTAGGATCATTAATTTCATTTCAAGCATAATACTATATATTATAATATATATGGCGTACATTATCAATTACAAATGTATTGGTAATTTATACTTTGAATAAAAAGGTTACATAATTTACCTTTCCTCATTATTTTCAGACCATCCAAGTCGGCCGCCAGCTGTGGCCCTCATGCCACCTCTCGAAAAGGTACCCTTATCCTCATTATCTGGTGAACCGTCTATGGTTCCACTTGATGAGCGTTTCATTTTCCCAAAAATAGCCAATAATCCTTTGTTATGCCTGGTTGCTAATGGGGATGGTAAAATCGATTGCGGAGATTTTGGCTGGTTATTAGAGTTCTTATTGTTTTCTTGTAAATCTAGGTCTTGGGCAATGATTTGATCTGCTTCAGCTGAAAAATGGATATTCAGTATGAGCTAAAATTTTAATAATTCGGCTATAATAATTTGTGCCATGCTGGATAGCAAAGAAATGCAGGAGAAATATTGAAATAAGTACAAAGGAAATGTTATTTGCATGCATTAATTAGATAGTTGAAAAATTAAATTGTGTGGCAAGGTCTTTTTATAAAAGTTAGCAAGTGTCGCATTCAATAAATTTATGTATGAATGTAGATTGAAGTAATGAGTTTAATTTTGGATAGGGTTTTGATCTGTATTTTAAAACAAGTTGGTTTAAAATGGGCACAACTAAACAAGAATGGCTAAAGATATCATTAAATTTTCAAACTTTGCATCAATTTTACTATCATCAGTATCTTCGCAGCATATCACCAATATGTGCCATATAACAAATTAGGTGTTATTTTCGTATATTCAGTTACCACTGATGATCTAATTTTCATGCAAACTTTTTCAATAACTTGCGACTATAAAAATTAATAATATTGTAGTACCTTAACTTTAGAAATAGAAAGTACATTAGTGTAAAACTTTGCTTTGCATAAAAAGTTACTAAAATTGTTCTTTATATTCAATTATTTAAGAAATGAAGAAATATAAGCAAAATATTTCATATTGACATATCTTTAACAGCCATCCCTCTATAAATGAAAAAGAAGAAAAATTGAAAAGTCAGGCCAAGATGCAAATATTAACATTTTTAGCAAGCCTAGAACAAAACTCTGGCATTGGGGCCTCGCTCTTAACCTAAATTGGGAACGGAAAACCCGCGTATTGTCTGGACAAGTGGTCGTGGTTTACCGAAGTTCACAGCTCTTCTTTGCGAACTGCAGCCGTTCGTCACCAGGTTTGCGTTGTCATCGGGACTATTTTGACGCTGGTTATTCATATTTGAATTGAAATGCCGTGGTAAACTTCCGTGTGTTGTTATATTGCGGTATGGAATCGATGATGGCTGTAAAAATTAATTCATATAATAAATAATAATGTAATATACTGTAAGTTCATCACAAATACAAATCTGTAACATATTCACCACTTCGATTCTTTTCAACTAAGCTATTAGGTACTGTGTACTTAGTATAAATAAAGTTGAAATCATCAATTTGATAAGTATTCATTTAAATCATCGATATCTTGTGGATAAATAACATAGAAGTTATTGCATAAAAAAACATGTTTTAGTATCTTCTAAAGTTCAAGATTATTATAAATTAATCTATCTAATGTATGATATCGCTTACAAAATAAATTTGAACCGATTTACCTAACTGAGAATAGTTAAAGAACCAAAAAAGCATCACTAATTTTGATTGGGTTGTTCATAAATTCAACAATAAAAAATATGACTAAAATCGTTCACTCTCACATATTAAGAAACAAATACTTCATTTTCTCTTCAATTAATCTAGGTATCAATTATTTAAGCAATAAGTTCTACATACTTGTATTGAATTTAAGTTTAAAGGAGATAAATTAGCCGGACTTCCTGAGGGCGTAGATGTTCTTGGAGCGGCAGGTGGTTTTCCTGCTTCTATATTCTGTTGATATGATTGATAATTATCTGAATTGAATGATATTTGCTGCTGTAATCGCCGTAACTCCATATTATCACGTTCTAAAGATGCTTGGTGCAGCTTTAACTCGCTCAAAGCCGACAGAAGTTCTAATTTCTGCGTTTCTAATGATGATCTGGATAACATTTCCTGAAAAAAATATAGTCGATTAAATTAAGTACACATTATATTACTTGTATATGTATGTAGTGACTCCTCAGTATTTCAAACACATACCCTTTGTAAGGATTCCTCGGCACTTTGAAGTAATTTTTGTTTATCCTGTAAGGCACGTTCAAGCCCAGCAGCTCTTTCACTTTGCATCGTTACTTGCTCCGTTAAGGAACAAACTTGAAGGCGGAGCTGCTCTTTGTCTGCTTCTAATCTGCGAATTCGTTCCTCCGCAGGACCAGAACGCTTGATAAAAATAGAAGTAAATCTTTTTGAATGACAACCTTTTGCAGAACTTATTAATATCAAAACAAACAATCTAGAAAATCTTGATTCGATAAACTGTACACTGTTTTACATTTTCGCATTATAAACGGTACACCAGAAATTTATAAAAAAGAAATCATAAATCATTGTAATAAATAATATTTATTATATATAATATATATATATATATATATATATATATACATAGCTGGGCATTAACTCGTTAATCCGTTAATCGTTAATTAACGAAGTTAACATTTTGATTAACGGATTAACTTTTAAGTTAACTTTTAAAAATGTTAACGGACACGTTAACTTCCGTTAAAATGCGAGAAGTCCGTTAATCGTTAATTCAATGCCTACTATTTAGCGCACGGCACAGCTTTAGCCAATGCCTTATTAAACGGCATAGAGAAAAGATTTGGACTACTCCTGAATGATGAACAGTGCCAACTTGCCGCGGCATTTCACCCAAAGTTTCGGTTAATGTGGCTGGAAACGTATGACAGCAGTAGAGAGGAGAGGAATGCAGAAACTATAAACTATTGGACAAAAAATTAATTTTTTCTGAAATTCTTTATTTTGACATATTTTGGAAGATCTGAACTTTTTTTCAAAGCAATTTTACTGCTTTAGGACTACATAGAGACAAAATATAGAGCGCGTAAGCGCGGCGTCGCTGTCTAACGGGTAAACATTAATACGGAACCCATAGGAAAATAAACAAAATTTATACTTATTGTTAAAATCTCTATAAAATATCTGAAAATTTGATGTGCCTATGTCTAATGATCATTTTGACCGCCAAATGGCATTTTTTTTACTTTTTCATTAGATCTCCGAAACCGCTAGACCTGCCTTCATGAAAAATTGATCAGTTCTTCATAATTGTCAATACAAGTAAAATGTTTTTGAATTATTAAAATCGGACGCTCCGTTCTCTTAAAAACTGAGTTACCGTTTTTGGCTAAATTTTGCCCCATATCTTCGGAACGGCTAGACCTGCCTTTGCCAAAAACTAATCAGCACGTCTTCTTATCAATACGAATCGAATGTTTTTTGAATTATTCAAATCGGTTGATCCGTGTTCCCGAAATCGTCGACGAAAATTTGTATCCGAATACACATACATACACACACACATACATCCATTTTTCTAAGGTATGCCAAATATTCAGAAACCTTTGAAACGTCGAGAAATGCAAAAATTTTCATTTTCGATTTTTTTGCGATTACTATAACTTGCCCTACGGGAAGTTAAAAAAACTCTTTCCCTTTATTTAGAAAAAAATTCTTGTAAAAACAATATGCAATCATAAAAACGGAAAGTTGACCAATAGCGTTATCACGGTATGTGATAATTGTGCCATTTTCCTTATACACACGGAAGTGTGCATAAACGCGCGAGGGGTTAAATTACACATTTGAATTATACAAGTATTTTGGTTATTCATAACCTGTTAACTTCCAGAACCTAAACTAATAAGTTTTTAAGTTCACTAACGCAACGATAAAAAATGTAATTTTACACATATTAACGGATTAACGATTAACGTTAACTTGCGTTAATTCTTCCGAAATGTAACGCTTTAACGTTTAACGAAGTTAACTTTTTTTGTAGCGGATTAACGATTAACGAAGTTAACTATTTGATTAACGGTGCCCAGCTATGTATATATATATGTATATATATAATAATTTCAGTTGATGAAAGGTAGCCAGATAAAAACAAAACGTTTTTCAATCGACAGATAATAGAAGGATAACTAATGTTTCTAAAAAAAGGGGGGGATGAGATCAATAAAATATGCAGTAAATTGGAATAATAAAGCAAATTAAATATATTGTTTGTAACTCAATCATACATTTTCATATAGCAACGCTAACATATTTGTAAAAGTTTGTTAAATAATTGCGATAGTTTAGTAAGAAAAAAACTTCATAAAATGGATGAAGATATCCTTGTGGACTACCTGATAACAAGGGTAGTAAGGATAGGCCCAGCGTTCGCAACAATGGATCATGGATGGAGTCCCATGATGTGAATTTCGACTACAATCTCCACAATGCGAATGGGATAAAGACTGCTGTTCCTCGCATCTCGCACAACTGACAAAGACCATTATTTAGTTTAATTTCATTACTTTTTCAATATCATATACTATGAGTTATTAAGAAGTAATCGCATTTCCTAAAAGAATAACATTCTATGAATGTAAAAATGGTTATCATGCAAATTTGTTATGCATAGAGGAAATACGGACAAAATGACGAATTATTTAATGATATAATAATCAGTCTCAAATTCTCAATGGCTGTCCATTTTAGTGATCTTAGATTCATTGACTATCAGTATCATAGCTGGTTAGTTCTAAAGAAGTAGGAAAGATAATAACATATTAATTAAGAAGAAATGCAACAAGTCCATATAGACAAAATGACATATAAGGTATGGAATCCATATATCCATGGATGGACGTACTGAGATAAATAAATCGTTTGGTCCTCTTTGGACTCCAAATTATGAGCCTTAAAGAATACAAATGATATATCGTAACCAATCTTAATTAGGCTCAGAATAGACAGAGAGGATTTTGCAACAAATAGAAGTCTCTTCTTCTACGGTGGATCTTTTGGTCTGTTTTTAGAAGTAATTAGAGTTAAAGTTAAAAGTCAATCACAATTGACAGGTTTCAATTTTCTTGGCCTCGAATAATCTAATCTATAGTGCTCATGAAGTAGCGCTATGTCATTTTGCCCATTGTATAAGTATGTCATTTTGTCATTAGGTAGTCACTAATCCACCAACCTGATTATTTCATTAATTTCATTAAAATTGATCGTAATCACTAGTACTGGCACAAGTTCATTGATTCTAATAGAAATAAAGAATAAGACCCTCAAAATAAACTTGAAAGCGAGATAAATATTTGAACTGACAACTACGACAAGGCTGTGACAATGACGCTCAACATCTGACAGTATTGCTAATATTGCTCTCAACGAAAACGTTACTAAAATTTGCCAAGCTCAGCCGTGAAAACGTTACTAAAACTAGACAATTTTTAAATAAGGCCACCGTGCCATATCGTCCATAAATGCCATTTTATCCGTATTTCCCCTATTATTAATGTTTTATTAATCGAAACTTCTTAATCGAACGTATTAGTACGGTTAGTTACACCAAATACAATAATTCTCGAATAAAAATATTGTTAATTAATTCGTCTAATAAACTTGGTTTCATAAGTCGTTTATTTCTATAATGTGTATTCTACTCGTATATATGTAGTATTGGAGTTCATGTGAAAACATCTTAATCGAATGTATTAGTATAATATGTTAGTTACACCGAATACAATAATTCTCGAATAAAAATATTATTAATTAACTCGTCTAATAAATTTGGTTTTATGAGTCATTTATTTCTATAAAGTGCATTCTACTCGTATATATGTAGTATTAGAGTACATGTGAAAACATCAACCGAACGTATTAGTATAATAGGTTAGTTACACCAAATACAATAATTCTCGAATAAATTATTGTTAATTAATTTGTCTAATAAAATTGGTTTCATAGGTCATTTATTTCTATAATGTGCATTCTACTCGTATATATGTAGTATTAGAGTACATGTGAAAACATCTTAATCGAACGTATTAGTAGTTACACCAAATACAATAATTCTCGAATAAAAATATTGTTAATTAACTCGTCTAACAAATTATGTTTTATAAGTCGTTTGTTTCCAATGAACATTCTACTCGTACATTTGTAGTATTTCACTATATATGAAAACTTCTGAATCAAACGTATTAGTATAATAGGTTAGTTACACCAAATATGTACAATAATTCTCGAATAAAAATATTAATTAATTCGTCTATTAAATTTGGTTTCATAAGTCGTTTATTTCTAATGGGCATTCTACTCGTATATTTGTAATACAGGACTACATGTGAAAAGTAAAAATTGCATTAGATAAAAGTTCATGCAATAAATTATTTGATGTTCCTTGAAAAGTTACACTGTGCCACTGTGCGTGATATCAATTAAAGAAACCCGAGACGTCGGTCTTTCATTAAACAAGGCAGGCTATGTAGGCAATCGCTTATCGACAGGAAACGCGCATCTCGAGATCGGTTAACAGATATAAGATTAATTATAACCAGGGCCGGTCCTGGTGTAGTATTAGAGTACATGTGAAAACATCAACCGAACGTATTAGTATAATAGGTTAGTTACACCAAATACAATAATTCTCGAATAAATTATTGTTAATTAATTTGTCTAATAAAATTGGTTTCATAGGTCATTTATTTCTATAATGTGCATTCTACTCGTATATATGTAGTATTAGAGTACATGTGAAAACATCTTAATCGAACGTATTAGTAGTTACACCAAATACAATAATTCTCGAATAAAAATATTGTTAATTAACTCGTCTAACAAATTATGTTTTATAAGTCGTTTGTTTCCAATGAACATTCTACTCGTACATTTGTAGTATTTCACTATATATGAAAACTTCTGAATCAAACGTATTAGTATAATAGGTTAGTTACACCAAATATGTACAATAATTCTCGAATAAAAATATTAATTAATTCGTCTATTAAATTTGGTTTCATAAGTCGTTTATTTCTAATGGGCATTCTACTCGTATATTTGTAATACAGGACTACATGTGAAAAGTAAAAATTGCATTAGATAAAAGTTCATGCAATAAATTATTTGATGTTCCTTGAAAAGTTACACTGTGCCACTGTGCGTGATATCAATTAAAGAAACCCGAGACGTCGGTCTTTCATTAAACAAGGCAGGCTATGTAGGCAATCGCTTATCGACAGGAAACGCGCATCTCGAGATCGGTAACAGATATAAGATTAATTATAACCAGGGCCGGTCCTGGAGTCCTTAACGCCCGCATGCAACTTTTTTTTTGCGCCCCCCCCCTATCAATTTTAACTGTT